TACTAAACCACTATAAAGGTCCTCCCGTTGTTCATCGATTTGCTCAAGCAGGCCCAATAACGTCTCCATTGGAGACTATGTTGTTACTGTGTTTGGCATATCAAATACATCATGGGGAGCTTGCCAGGCTCTACCGTGAGGGCGAGATACTCTCGGTAGCTTGCCAGGCTCTCCGAGAGGGGCGGAGGAATCAAACTCGGGTCAGCCATGTTGGCTGCGTGCAAGGCAAATGCTCTACCACTGTGCTATCGCTCCAGCCCAACTAAACCACTGTGGTCTATGCATTTTTTAGTTCACGATCACGACCATCCCGTTATTCATCGTTTGCCTCGAGCAGGCCCCAGTAACGTCTCCTTCGTCCTAGCCCTGAGATTTTTTTAAAAAATGCCATATTCAAGGTTCTTTCAGGGTTAGGAGAATGAGACCCATCATTGTTACTGGTATTTGGCATATTGGGTACGCCACGGGGAGTTTTCCAGACTCTGCTGTGTGGGCAGGTTACATTCGGTAGCCTGCCAGTTTGTCCAAAGTAGGAATGAGATAATAAGATGTCGCGCGGCCGCTTTTGCCACTTTTGATTCTTTAGAATCAAAAAAAACATCACTCAAGGTTAAGAAAAAGTTACTTTCACTGTTTTCATCATTGTATAAACAACTTTTTCCAACCTAGTCATATAAGATATTAACATTTATAGTTCATATCCCTTTCAAATTGACAACATTGTCAGGTACCAAATGTAGTTAACGAACCAACATATTTTATTTAGAAGATTCTTCCTACACAAATCGAGAATAATGTAAGGGTGAAATGGAATATCAGCATGCCATTTTTATTGGTAAGAGGATTCCTGAGAAATTAACCACATGGCAGTCATCTCTGGGTAGTAGTGTTCAGGATTCAACAGAACTCTGAAATGCTAAAGTCAAACACAAAATGAACCAATGAGGTGTGTATACACGTGAAGTGAAGTGAAGAATGTGCACTTAGTAGTGGTTCATATACAAGAGTGAAAAACTAAAAGTGCATTATGAACTTACAGAAAGCTCAGCGGCTTAACTGCCCTTTAAATAAAAAAGAAATTACTTAACAATCACCGTGACAAAGTTGTTCTGTCCTAGATTTCTATTTTTGCCTTGAGAGTCCAGAACTTTTGCAATCTCAAAGTTGTGTGCACAGGAGAAATGAAAGAAGGTATGGGGAAGGAAAGAAAAAGAAGTCTAGCAACCTGGCATTTAAAAACTTTTTGATTAACTCGAAATGCCAATAGTTTGAAAATTATTAAAATGGAAGCAATATACTTTTCAAAGAGATTATTATCATCATAAACTATTTTTAAAAAATATAAGTCATGCTCATTGAGAAAGACTGTAACTATGAAGGACAAATCCCACTGCTACTTAAGGGCCAGTCACAAAACACAATGATGGGTCAAAATGGAAATTTATCGGCAACAAACCAGCAGGTTAGTAGATGGCAAATTCATGTTCTCAAAGCAACCACTTTATCTGCACTCAAATGATGCCTTAAATGGAAACAAAGCAAGTATGTTAAAAGTGAAAATTAACTTTAAAGTTAATTCATAGTTTTGTTTTTATATTTCATCAATTTCCTCAAGAGACAGCAACATCCCTCAAAGAAGATGTTTCTTATATCATTTTACAACTGTAGGGCTCCATTGTCATTCCTTTTAGCATCACTTTCATACATTTCCTCTTTGTATAGTTTAATCCTCCATGAGACTCACATTCTGTAACATGTGCATCTTCAAAAAGGCATAAAATTATATAGCTATTTTAATAACATAATATAAGCAGCATAGCATAGTGACTATAATCTAATATTAAATATATTGCATTCCAATTATGATGTCTTAAACACATTCATGCTAGAGAAAATATTTATTGCTGTCAAATATATTAGGCATGTTTTTCTTTAATGTACAAATATAATTACTGTACCTATGAAATAAGTATTACTTTCTAAATTATATGGATGAGGAATTGTAACATTCAAAGGCTTAATAAATTTTCAAGATCACACAGCTACACAGACAATATATATGAATAAGTATTTGAATTCATACATCATAGCTCCAGATGAGCTTAACCACCACTTCTTTTTCAAAAATGATACATGTGTTAATATTGTATGGAGATCAGTTAATTACAAAGGATTGAGGTCCATTAAATAGTACAAAGAAAGTCTCTTCAATGAATGGTACTGAAAAACTGAATAACCATATGCAAAAAATAAAACCAAAATGTTGTTGGATCCCCATTTCTCACCCTATACAGAACATACCTCAAAATGAATTTAAATTAGACATTTTTTTATAAATTAGACAATTTAAATTCATAAAATAAATGATTTTAAATTAGAATCATACACTACATTGGGTTGAGCAATAGCACAGTGGGTAGGCCGACCCAGGTTTGATTCCTCCACCCCTCTCGGAGAACCTGGCAAGCTACCGAGAGTATATCACCCGCAAAGCCTGGCAAGCTACCCATGATGTATTTGATATGCCAAATACAGTAACAAGTGTCACAATGGAGACGTTATTGGGTCCAGTCAAGTAAATCTATAAGCAATGGGAGGACAGTGACAGTGACAATGACACTATATTGGGGAGAATAGTAGAACTCTCCATGAAATAAACTCATTAATCAAAATAATTCAAAAAAAAGGAGAAGGGGAAATTCTAGATTACATAGATTTTATCATTCATAAGTAGAGCAAAGAAACAAAGTAAGGGAATATACGATGTCTACAAAAAAATATCTTGGATACTGACAAGAGAATCAAAGTTACGAGAATGTGTAAGTGGGGCAAGGAGGAAGCAAAGAGTGAGAGTGAGAAGGGATGGGGCAGACTGGGAGTGACACAAAGTCAGTGGTACAGAGTCCTTGACACTTTGATGGTGGTGGAGTAGCAGGAACTGTACAGAAAAAGCTAATAAAGATTAACACTATTGAAAGCACATTACTTCAAAATAATAAAATATAAATTCAAAACTCATAATAAAAGTCAGTGTAAAGAAACAAAAAAGAGCATTATTGCTAAAATATCTTAACTAGATAAATAGTTTGATAGTAGTCAGAAGGTACAAACTTTCATTTATAAGAGAAATTAGTTCTCTTTAAGGAACTTTATTGGTAACAAACCAGCAGGTTAGAAGATGGTAGTTTCATGTTCTCAAAGCAACAACTTTATCTGCACTCAAATGATGTCTTAAATGGAAACGAAGCAATATGTTAAAAGTAAAACTGATTTCTCAGAAAAAAGTAATGTATAAAATAAAAATATCAAAGTAAATATTTTTCTGTGTCACTGTTACTTTAGTCAAGTCTAACCACAGAGGAATTTGAATGTGGTCTACTGGATAGTTTATTTATTCTTCAAGTCTTGACTTCTCTGTAGCAAACCGGGGAAAATCTTATGAATCCTGGTCAATATATTCCTTGACAAAGAAGAAATTCTTAGTGTCAGAGAGTTCTCACAGCATCTGCCTTCCTTATTTGATTTCTTTATAAAGTAGTTCACAATATTTTATTCTTTTTAAAATATTCCAACACCAATCCCACCACCATAACACCTTCCCACCACCATATTAGGGATATTTCTATCCTGAGCCCCAACCCCTGCCCTAAAGCAGAATTGAAATAATTCATTTTGTGTTGTTTATCATGAATAAACATCTGAATGTGATCCAGAAATGTTTCCTTAGAGGAAAGTGTGTGAAGATTGTTGTATTTCACCCAGAGTGAACTTTCTCCTGGAAAGTTGCATTTACTGTGTAGCTGCATCAACAGCCGCATGACATATAATACTTCACATCAGTAATATTCCAAGAGTAGTGCACCATATTTTGTGGGGTTTTAAGTAGAAGGCAACCAATCTTACAGGAAAATATATTTTTATAAATATATATACATATATCTGTAATATATATTATATATATATGTACACAAGACTCAACCTTTAACAACATGTTAGCAATCTCTTATAGAAGATCTTCCTATTTGTTTTAATGACTTGAGGGCTGACTCAAATTTTGTGCCACTACTTAGTGGTGTGTGACTTTGGGAAAATCATTCAACCTCAGTAGGACACAATTTTCTTTACTGGAAAGCAGAGTTAATTATGCATTTCCAATTTAAGGCTGTTTCAGGATCAAATGAGATGTATGCTTAAAGCTCTTAGAGGTGCTGTAACTAAACAGAACAAACCAAGAACTAGAACTTCTGCAAACTGGCTCAAGACTTTTCTTGGCAGCCTCTGTTTTATAATCCTTAATCGGTCACTTTAAGTTTGTTTTCTAAGTATTTGAAATTACTATTTTCTTTATCTTCTTGTCTTGGATTTCTTTAGTATGTGTTATTGGTTGCCCTATATTATTAAATCTCTTTTCACCTACAGCTATCACTGGACCAGAGGTAGCCATCTTCCTTCCCCACTCCCCTGCCCCCCAACCCCGCACCACTCATTGAAACTGAAAAGCATTAAAAGGAACTGATGCCTAACTATCGCCCATCCACACCCATGCCTCTAACTCTTTTGTTAAGTTTTCTATGTATCTTATGTTTTATTGAATTTATTGTAGATAAATAGCACTGTAGCACTATCCTCCCATTGTTCATTGATTTGCTCAAGCAGGCTCAGTAATGTCTCAATGTCTCCATTGTGAGACTTGTTGTTACTGTGTTTGGCATATCAACTACTGGAACAATAGCACAGCAGGTAGGGCGTTTGCCTTGCATACAGCCAACCCAGGAGACCCGGGTTTCTTTCTTTCTTTCTTTCTTTCTTTCTTTCTTTCTTTCTTTCTTTCTTTCTTTCTTTCTTTCTCTCTCTTTCTCTCTTTCTTTCTTTCTTTCTTTCTTTCTCTCTCTCTCTCTCTCTCTTTCTTTCTTTCTTTCTTCTTTCTTCTTTCTGGTGGTGTCACCCCAAAACAAAACAAACAAAGCCCATATTTGGCCTAACTCTTTTTCTTGTTGCAGGATGATCTGGAAGCTTTCTCTCTACCTGTTCCTGGTGGCTGTGCTGATGAAGGTAACAGACAGCAGGAAAAACCGGCCCTCAGGTGCCATCCCCTCACCTTACAAGGATGGTAGCAGCAACAATTCAGAGAGGTGGCAGCACCAAATCAAGGAGGTGCTGGCCTCCAGCCAGGAGGCCCTAGTGGTGACCGAGCGCAAGTACCTCAAGAGTGACTGGTGCAAGACACAGCCTCTTCGGCAGACGGTGAGTGAGGAAGGCTGCCGCAGCCGCACCATCCTCAACCGCTTCTGCTACGGTCAATGCAACTCCTTCTACATCCCGAGGCATGTCAAGAAAGAGGAGGAGTCCTTCCAATCCTGTGCCTTCTGCAAGCCGCAGCGTGTCACCTCTGTCCTTGTCGAGCTTGAATGCCCGGGCCTGGATCCACCCTTCCGACTCAAGAAAATTCAGAAGGTGAAGCAGTGCCGGTGCATGTCCGTGAACCTGAGCGACTCGAACAAGCAGTGACCCTCGGGAGCCCTGGGAGCCAGGATGCAGTTCCAACACCACACTCCTAATCGGCCCATGTCCTCCTAGCTCACTTACTCGCTGCTATCTGGTGTCCCTCCAGCAGTAAGCATGTCATTTAGGGTTGACTTTTCTTGTCACCCACACCGACCGCATGTGTGTCTTTGCTGAACACACGTGTGTTATTTGCCGAACTGGGGCCTCCATTACCTCCCCAACTATATCGTGCGACAGGCCTGAAGGAAGACACTGGAGTCACCAATTACCAACTAGCAGTTGGGGAGAATTGTGGATCTGCATTCATGTTTCCACTGTGTGGAAAAGTGCTATTTTCCAGACTTCAAGCTCCATTCCAGGTTCCTCTCCTTCTTGCAGAGATGCCTCTACTGAACTGGCCCTTCAATCTCTCCTGCAGTTGCCACCTCTGGTTGAAAGCATGCATTCTAGTCATTGCAGGACTGCCCTTCAAGTTGCTGTGATGCCGATATTAACTGGGACATCTGGGGAAAAATAACGTCCATGAACCCATGAACCAGAGGTGTCTTCTAACAAACCCAATCCCAAAAGCACGACTTAAGTCACTTGGATGCGCTGCCTTGGCACCTGGCTGACAGCAGGCCTCTCTCTTCCTGCCCCCCAACCACACACCATTGCCCTTTTATCCTCACTTTCCTAACCTCCATTCTTGGACTAGAGATGAACTCTGATATGCATGCTATTATCGATGCAATTAGAATATTATTACACACAAAAATCTCCATATTAATACTGGTTTTATAATTGATCTGTATTGTAAAGAGCTTTTATGAAGTATTATTGACCTATCCATGTATTATTTCATCTTGTTTCCACTCTGGCGTTGTAGTACAATTCTGAGTAAGTAACAGATCAGCTCATTGGCTGAGAAGGTGCTTTACTCAAAATTAATTCATGGTCAGAAGTTCACTGTCACATACTCTTAGATTAGATGTGGAGATGGGAGGAGGTACAACTTTTCATTGAGTAATATTGCATTGTATTACAGCACAATGTAGAAGATATGTTGGGATGGATGAGTACAGAGAAGTTAGTCACTGGTAGTTAACCTAAAATCCACAAATCCCTGTTATATTTAATACTCACATGTGGGATGAAAATGTATACTATTTAATTAACATAACACTAAGAAAAACTCTTTTATCTGGAAAGAAAGAAATACTTTAAAATATAAGGAGTCAGGTCACTTTGTGTTGTAAAAGAATGTAAAGGGTAAAATATATAGAATGAAAATCTAGTTGGGTTGTTATATAGTTTCCTTTTCCAAAAATGGACTTTAAAGAAAATAAGCAAACATTAGACCATCTTTCATTTTTATAAAGAATTGCTGTGGTCTCTTAATATAAGAAACTTGATATAATTTTCCTGCAAAAGTATCTTGAGTTCCTTTGTGGAACTGCCCCGTGAAGACTTCCTTATGAGTAATGTTTAAAGAATATGATAAATGTGAATAATGTGCCATTGCTGGAAACAGCTGACTTCAAAATCTTTCACTGGTAATTCCAAGCCAACCAGTCTCATATGGAATGTAAGTCTGCCTTCTAAGTGAACCCAGAAGGGCTTAGTTCTTAGACAACCCTTACAAACTGCTCTGGGAACTATGGCTTCCTGCCATGAAACAGAAATGGGGAATCTAAAGATAATTACCTTGCAAGCAAGAGTTCAGGTGGGGTGTGACATATGAGAGAATTTTTCTCCTACCTGCAGTGAATGTTTTATTTTTGTTACCTCTTGAGTATCATGAGGCATGATAAGAAAGTGTTGTTGTAAAGAGGTCCCTAGTTTAAGAGTTGGGCATATTAAACCAGGAGGCAGAAGTCAGTGGGAGTTGTTGAAGGCTAGAACCTAGGAAAGTTGGAAGGAATGGAGACAACCAGGTCAGGAAAGGATGTTTGAAATTGTCGGAAAACCTCATGTTAGACACAGTAGCAGAACATAGAGCAGAAAAGCTGTGAAGGAAGGTCCACATGATTGTAATGGAGGCTGATGGAATGAAGTAAGAGGAGCGGCAACTGCAACTGCAAAATCAGTCCCTGTCATGTTATAACAGAACCTAAGCAGATAGGGATGAAACATTGAACTAATAGAATATGAACATTAACATACCTTCTTTGAACCCCCTTGTGGATGTATAGAAACAATATGATATGTTGCAGCGAAGATCCTATGGGGGATATGGATATTGTATGTGCGAAGTTTACCTTAATAATGGCTCAAATTATATTTAATTTTGTTTGTTTATAAAAGAAGAAAAGCTATAAGTATAATGTAATTATTTTATAGGTATCCTATTAAATTATAGAACAAATAAAGATACTTTAGGAATATATGTGATCCTGTTGCAATGTCATAAAAATGGTGAGTAGTTAAAGGAGATTTTTATGTTTGGAGTGTTTTTGTGGAGTTTAACACTTAATCCATATCATATGATCTCCTACAGGCACTACAAACATAACGAAATCAGGCTTTCAAATTGCAAAGGATGGCTCTCAATTCTGGTCTTGGGATTTCCCCAGCCTCTAAAATATTCCTCCAGTAGCTAAAAACAGAACTCTTAACATTGATCACTATGCTCTATCGCAAGACTTACTGACCAAAAAAAGAGTTGAGACTGCTGCAAATAAAAGACCACTGTAACCCTTTCCTTCACATTCACTTTTCAGGTGTGTGTGTGTGTGTGTGTGTGTGTGTGTGTGGGAGGGTATTAATATTTCTTGATCAAATACTTAGGTTCACAATTTCTCCATTTTCTACTATTTGACTAGTTGCTATTCAAGAAATACAATAATGAATAAAAATTTGTAATAAAATTGCATATGGTTTATTTTTCTGTATGGACTTCAGTGGAAATTAACATAGCCATCAACAGAAAATTCATATTGGTTCACTAAGTAGATAGCAGCATTAATATCATAAATAACATCATGTTTTTCATTGTGGAGAGAAAAATATTTTTCTAATCTAAAATGAAAGCATGTCGGGGCTGGAGAGATAGTACAGCGGGTAGGGCATTTGCCTTGCACGCGGCCGACCCGGGTTCAATTCCCAGTATCCTATATGGTCCCCTGAGCACCGCCAGGAGTAACTCCTGAGTGCAGAGCCAGGAGTAACCCCTTGCATCGCCAGGTGTGACCCCCCAAAAAAATGGAAAAAAATAAAATGAAAGCATGTTGAGGGCTGGAGAGAGAGCACAGCAGGTAGGGCGTTTCCCTTGCATGCGGCCGACCCGGGTTCAATTCCCAGCATCCCATATGGTCCCCTGAGCACTGCCAGGAGTGACTTCTGAGTACAGAGCCAGGAGTAACCCCCGTGCATCGCCAGGTGTGACCCAAAAAGCAAAAAAAAAAAAATGAAAGAATGTTGAATGAAATATTTGAGTCTACATTTTTATGCGCTGCTTAACTACAGTCACAACTTTCAAGACTTTATAAGGACATTAAGGACTTACTGTATACTACTTAAGAGACTAAGCTATTTAGAATCTTATATGGAGTTTCTTAAATTAATGGATTGATTTTACTATGTATCTATTAAATTATTAATTTATTTTTGTTCTGAGTTTATACCTAATGGACTAGGGCTTATCCTGGGCCTAGTCCTGTCTCTGTGCTCAGGAAAGACTGGAAATCACATGTGGTACAAGGGGATTCCAACTAGTGTCTGCAGCTTGCCAGGCAAGTGTCTTAAATCTTTATACTGTCTCTCTGATCCAATTTATTCTATTTTGGGGGGGGTGAACATTGGGGGTGAACCCACTAATTTTCAGAGTTTATACCTGGTGGTGCTCTGGGGACAATATGTGGTACCAGTGATCATACTGGAGTTGGCTACATGCAACTTCACCTTTGTGTTATCTCTCTAGCTGATTTATTTTTAAGATATATGTCAATGAAATTACTTTCTTAACTATAGGGTGAATTAGTTAAATACATTATATATCACATACATATCTTAAATCACATACATTCATGTATATATATATATATATATTTCTAAAAAGCTTAGTTGTTGATTGACTCATCACACTTCTTTTCTCTTGTCTGAGTTGAAAACCCAGATCCTCACACATGTAAAGCAAATCGTATACCATTGAGTTATATCCTTGACCCAACTGCAGACTATTAATATCTGCATCAGAGAAATCCAGTAAGACTATATTATAAATAATTCAATTAAAATATGTTGATTATAAAGTTGTCTTCTGAATCCCCCTTAACTTCCCTTGTCTTCCTCTTCATCCAATTCTACTTCAGTTTTTCAAGCACATCAGACAACTGTGTTGAGTATGAGTAACTGTGTAGTTTCTGCTTGGTTTGATTTGGTTGTATTTACTGGAATCTGTAGGTTGCTGGTTCCTTGAGTTCTTAATCTAGGGTATGTGAAGGGGAAAAAAGTAGTTAGGAAATCACTGTCACATTATTTTTTGAATCCTGAGGTTCTGCTTTACACTCTTCACCACCAAAAGCCATTATTATATGATGTGTGTGTGCATGCATGCATGCGTGCACATGTGTATATGTGTTTACTCCATCTTTTATGGAATCAGAAGTCTGTACTTTCTTTTAAATGAGGTAATTTAATTTAAGTACTATTAATATTGTACCCCCCACCAGATACACACTTTATTCTAAAGGGAAGGTTCAAAGGTCTTTCAACCACATACTTTCCACTGCCAGCTCAGATCTGTGAACCAACTCTTCATTTTTGCTATGTTTCGCTCCTTGCTATTCTCTTGCTGTGTATCTTTAAATCAGATATCAGAGAGACCATTTCTACCTTTCCTTCTGACTGATTTCACTCAGCACAACACAGTTGAGTTCCATCTATGTAGTGGCAGATTCCATGATTTTATCATTTCTTAGAGATGCATGGTATCGCATTGTGTATATATATATATAATATGTATATATATTTGTTGTTACTGTGTTTGGCATATCGAATACTCTCGGTAGCTTGCCGGGCTC